AAGTGATGCAGAACTTTGGTTTAGGGTGGCAAATCTCACATAATGCTGGGGTTGGGGTTTGGACTATTTCATTGATATTGGTTTCCAGGCCTCTGCTCATCTGATGGTCAGCCATGTTTTCAGTAGCACCTCAGTGTGCCAGCTAAACAGTGACTCCTGTCCCTCTTATTTCCAAAGAGGTGAGACAGCCAGGCAGAATTAGCTGCTTTTGCAGTAGTCACAGTTGGATGGAGTGCAACAAAATTCCCATATTCTGAAGCAAAGACAAGGAACCATTTAAGGTTTATTTGAAACAACCTCTGTGCTCCATATACATGACAAATCCTCACAGCAGCTTCTGAGCTGTCAAGTTTGTACTTGTCTTTTTGTAGCCCATTGATGATCTTTAGGATCATCAGCAGCAAATATCCACAGTACATTGTGGTCTGGCCAACGCATCTCCTGCGTAGGAACTTGGGAATTGGGCTAATGCAAAATACTTGGATCAGATCTGCAGGGAAGGTGTCAGGAGAAAGCACGTTCCCATCTATTTTCATCTGATGCAAAATGAAGCCAGCTATTTACAGACAGAGCTGTTCTAAACAGAAGTTGACAGGCAGTCCAGGCTTTGTTACCTTGAGAGGAATAGAAAATATCCTTGGTCTTTTTATTAAAGATTCTGTTGTTTGTGATTGATTATGATCCAATTGCTCTAATGGAGGAGAATATTATGCACAGCATGAGTCAGCAACCCTTTCCTCCTGGAACAGCTGACAGCAAAGAAAGTTCCCAAACTCTCTGCAGAATTCCTCTCCCTAGATGAGAACCTAGACTGCATCCACCAATACCTGCTTGTGCCTCCCCTTGAGATGGACCTATACTTGTCTGACTGGCATATGGAAACATCCAAGGTTCATTGGAGGTTAGAAGACACAACTCAATGTGCAGCAAAAGCACTTGGGAGCTGGTTCAGAGTGCCAGTGCATGTTCCAGTGGTTGGGAGCTTCAAAATGAGGTCCTTGACAGAACTGGCAGTGGGAGGATGTTGCCTAATCCAGATGGTTAGGCTCATCTGAGATCATTCAGTAAACAAGACAGTTTCTGTAAAACTATATATTTCCTGTAAAATATAGATCTGTAGCCACCAGATAAAGGGTTATTGGAAGCAGATTTGAAAGCTACTAATCCATAGGTGCACTCTCCACTCTGGGATAGGAAAAAGTACAACAAAAATTCCTGCCCTGTTAGGATAAATAAAGTAAGGGGATGTATTTTAATATACTAAATGTTTGAAGTAATTAATGAGCTCTTTGTAGAAGTATGGACTTCAGTGAAAATATACTATAAAAGAGTTTTCCCTGCTTTACTATACAATATCCATTACCTACTGACATTGCCCTGTAGCAGTATTTATGTTGTGTTGAGAACAATGATGTACTGTTCCAGCATGTGAAGGACTGTGTACTGAAACAGGCCTAGCATCTGAACAGTCCCCATACAAATCCATACTTCCACTGAAATTTTTTGCCAAGCAAAGCTACAGTTGATAAACAATCACATGTTTTGGATTGATTTTGTTTTTTTTCTCTTGTGTCTGTTGCATATTTGCTGCCACTGGGTAAAGCTTCTGGCACCTGCCAAGTGATTAGCTATGAGGAGTTCCAATATTTCCCTATGAAATGAGCATTTCTGCCAAAGGTGCCAGCCCAAAGCACAGAACTACTGCTTTTTAAAGTATCCAGACATATTAAACCACCTAAATCATTCCTTGTTCAATGCCAAGTCAGCCAGCCTTCTCCCTTCCATGTGCTCAGGTCAGTCAGCGTTCCAAATGCTTCTTTCCCATGAGCTGACACCTTGCTCTGTGCTAAGCTGCATCCCTTGAGGTCTCTGCTGTCCACCTTGGACCTCAGGAGAAAGGAAGGGATGCATGAACACAGCAAGACTTGCATTTCACAAAGTTCTTACAGATTTTTAGAAAGTTTACAACAGAGGCACAGACCTTAAAAGAACAGTGTGATTGCCACAAAGAACAGTGTGGGAAAACCAGTATACATGCATGTGCAGCCCTCCCACATGCATACTGACTACCCCAGATATAGGCATACCCACAGATCAGCACCTACACAGAAATGTTTCTGACACACTTATTCTCAGCATCCTGTTCTCTTACAGCAGCGTCAGTTGGAGGAAGGGTGAAAATATGTTCCTTCTAACCTAATCTTCTTATGACCTTTCTGCCAACTCCACTTTCCTTGCCTATCTTTAAGCTACCTGTGGTTGTGGTGGGAACAAGATCCCACTGTAGAGAGATTTTCCTCCTCAGAGCTAAGCAGGGGCTGTCTGCTAGATTGTGGTGTCCTGCCCAGTTGCATTTAAGAGAGTCAGAGTAAATAAGGAGATAAAAAAATTGTTTATGATTGCATCTCTTGGGCCTCTTGCGGCTCCATTAGAGTTCTTATGGAGTTGTAGGATTGTGACTGTGCTGCAAACGTGGGGCACATGGGCTCCCATTCCCTCTTCCCTTCCTGGACTGCGAATTCCCTGCCAAGCCTGGCAGGAGGTCTTAGCCCTCTCACTCTGCCCTGCACATTTCCTACAACTGCTTGTAACTGTAGGGAAGAAAAGCTGGAGATAGGCAAACACAGTGATGGTTGTGGCTGGCTCTGAATGCTCTGGTACAAACCAGTATTTAGAGGGTCACCATCTCATTGAGAGGCTTTTAGAGCTCAGTAAGACAAACTCCACAGCTGTATTCCAAAGCTGTCCCACAATAGTCTGGGAACTGTGATGGATTCTTCTGGCAGGAGATGTCTGACTCTCTTTCCCTCCCTCTCTCTGGGACAATGTGGGAGATGGGCACTTCTCAGTTGCAGGGTGTTTCTGGCCTCCATGCTTCCTGTCAGGGAGAGATTCATTAGCAGTAGAAAGGCAATTCTCTCTCCTCTCTGCTCTGGAATTGAAGTCATTTGTCTCAGGAAGGAGCCCAGGCGCCTCACTCGCTGTGTGGCAGCTTCTGCTCAAGGGAGACAAGCACTTTGTCAATAAACAAGGAGCCTGGGGAATGGCTCCAGCTGACAGAGGACATTATTAATGACTGGCACTTTGTCAGAGGGTAGATCAGCCTCCCATTAGCTGCCTTAAGAGGGGAAAGAGAAGGGCTAAAGATGGAAGTCTGAGAGCAGCTGGGAGTTTCAGCATCCTCCTGCAAAGACCCCACTGCAAGGCCCAGGGCTGGCACAGCCCCCAGGGAGTGACCATATTTTTCCTCTCCTGTGACAGCAGGAGACAGGCCCAGCTCAGGAAGAATTTTCCTTTCCACCCTGGCATGGGTGGGCTCTGCTATGGAGGCCTTCCCCTCTGTCCTCCTCTCCGTCCGCCCTGGGTGCAAGGGGCGGACATACACAAGGAGTGTCTTCCAGATTGTCCTGCTGAAGTTTCTTGTTTTGGAAAGCCTGTGGACCTTTGTGCAGCTCCTACCAACATCATTTAATGAAGAAGGTATTGAGGGAATCTGAAAGGAGGCTGTCCCACTGCCTTCATTCTTGGGAAGCTGTTATTACAAGGAAGAGCAAGAAACACCATTCCCTATGGCCACACACTTAACTGGAGAAGCTGCGGACTTTTGTCATACTTAGACTCCTAGACTCATCTCCTTAGGTGGAAGAAGCCTCTAAGCTCTAAAGCAACTGTTGAGTCACCTTAGAATCATACTTAATTTGCCACAGCAGCATCAGGGTGGAAGGAAAAATCCCTGCTTAGTTTTGACATTGACAGTTCATCCTTTGTCCTACAGCCCTAGAGCTGCCAGGAGAGTGAGTCCTTGGCTCCTTCACAAAAAGCATGTGGTGCAAGTACTCAGCCTATGGAGCAGGTCTTTGTAGAAGCTTTTGTTTGGAACTGCACTTGCAAACAAAGATGTTTCAGCTCAACACCAGAGTGTCCAACCAGCCTGCTGCACAACAGGGTGTAAGATCAGTGTCATCCTGGTCTCCAAGCTGTTTGAAGGAAGTAGCTCTTCATACTTCTTATTGCTGTGGAGCTGCAGCTGTGGTGCCTTCACAGCTAAAGGTGCATTCACTATCCTGCTCAGATACTGTTGCCTGAGTGTGATTATGTGTCTTTTATTCAATTTAAATCTCTTTTCAGACTGAATGCTCTTATGCTCAGCCTGAGATCAGGAAAAAATATACTGGGGACTCATCCTTTTTCTTTCAGAGATTATTCTATGCTACAGGCATAAAGTCCAAAGTTTAGAGCCAGCAGTAGGTTCAGGTACCTCTTATTTATTCCAGGACTTGGGCTCTTGCAAATTAAATGGATGGATCTGACATCAAAATTCTTTGATTCACATTATCTAACCTGGGGCTGTTTAGATTTAAGATTCAGGTGTGAGCCCATCTTTGGCAGACTTGTGCAGGTTAAACTGCCAATTGATTTTTACTTGCAGAAAGCTGGAAAAACTTTACTGCAAGACTGGCTCAACGTCTCTCCCTTGTGGTTAAATATTACTGTCCTGGGGCTGAGAGTGAAGTAGAGTCCCAGGACTGCTGTCTCCAGGCTTGCTTCCACCGTGACAGAAAAAAAATCAGACACTTCTAGGTCTGCTGGTATTTGTAAGCTGAAACAGGTCCCACCCAGATAAATGGTCAATTTCTGCTCTCAAACGAGCTGTGGTCTGCTCCAAGCCCCTAAGTGGATTGCCTTCTGGCCAGCCTAGTGCTGTGATGATTGAAAAGCTGAGAGGAGTTAGAAGGGGGGTGGGTAGGGATGCAGTGTTCAGAGGCTGTGTGGACCCAAACTAGCTAGATTCACAGAACTCATCACTCAAATCACTTCTTGCATTGCTCTCTGTTTTAATTCTCCCTGAAACAGCCCTCTCCTATGAGTGAAACAATCTTGCCTGCAGATTGAGGGGGGTGGGAGGGATTTGAACATTAATCTGATGTAGATTATACATCCGCCTCCCTCTCTCCCCCCCTTCTCACTCTCTCTCTCTCCCTCTCTTTCTGTCTGTTTCTCTCCCCTCCCTCTCCTTCCTGCTTCATCTCTTCAAGAAAGTGAACATAAAGTAAAATACGGAGAGAGAGAGGCAGAGAGAGAAAAAGCTCCCTGAAGAGGGAAAGCCCCAGCAGCAAGTAGCTGTTTGGATTTGCCTGGTGCTGCCTTTCTTGCTTTACTCCTAAGGAATACCTTTAATGGGATCAATTGCTTCAGTTCCTTTATAACCAAGTCCACCGGAAAGGCAGCCTCAACATATTATGGGCAACTGTGTGAAGTCTCCTCTGAGAAACCTCTCTAAAAAGGTATGTTCCCTGAATCAATCCAGCCCTGCTTCTTGGGATGGGTGACACTGTGGGCAGACAAGAATGGGAGGTGGGAGAAACAGAGATGAGTATGAAGGGTTCAGCTTCTTCAGCAGTCTTTTTCTGTAAGAGCTGCTCAAGCAAGTGCAGCCAGTAGAGCCCAGGATGCTGAGAGCCATAGTATGTATAAATCAGTGTGTGTGTAGGCTCGTGTCCTGCTCACTGTGTGTGTACAGCTGTCCTCTGGGTACATGCAAGCATGTGCTTGTTGATGTGCACAGTGTGCTGGCACACTCCTGTCAGGGCATCTTGTGTGAGCTTTGGCTGAGAGTTATCTACTTGAGTAATCACGTGTGTCATGGGTGTAGGGACATATATGCATGTATACACGAAGGGTCTTGTGTCTGTATGTGTTGCCATTGCTGTGTAAGAGTATGCACACCTATGGGCCCATCTGAGGTATGTGTGTGTCCTTAGCTCTTTATGTCACTACACAGGAATCCTGAGTGCCTGAGCAGGTTTGCTGTGAGTGCAGAAGGGGGCATTTCTGTGTATCACACACATGCCCTTGCTTACATGGTGATGTGTGTGCTCACCTGCTAGTGCATGTCCTCACAGAATTCTGTGTGTAGACATGCACATGTTTTGATGTCTCTCCATCTTTGCATATGAAACAATTAGTTTTGGTATGTGTTTTGGGTACAAAAGCATGTTTTTCTCCCTGTTCTGCTTGTCCATGCATCTGTTTGTGAGTGGATACACTGGGTCCTGGCTATGTGTTTGTGCATCATGTTGCACGTCAGTGTGGCCCATGTGCCTACATGCTTGGGCCCAGCTGGACTTCGTCTATGAGCTGCCACATGTGTCTGTTAGGCTTCAGCCCACAGTCTACTCTGTGCTGAGGTTTTGCAGTGGTCCTGGGACAAACTAGATTCAGGAATAATTCTGCTGCTATGGACTGCGTTGAAATGGGAACGACATGCCCCAGAAACATTTCTTGTTTAACTGAGGAAGATCTTACAGCACTGTGTACCTGTGAGCCACACGGTTCTCACTTGGCATTGCTGCAAATCTAATAGCTCAGCAAAAAGCTATGCAGTTCATTCTCCATAAATGATGAAGTTATGCTGATCATCCAAAGTATTGCAATGAGATGCTGCCTCTGTGGAGACCTTGATGACAGTGAAATGCCACTGCCATCAAGATGCTTTATCCAGGAGACCTTGTCACCTGGGAAAGCTTCTCTGCGAGGGAGCTGTCTGGGAGAGGACGTCCATTGTAGAGTTTCTTTTGGCTGCATTTTGGCCTCTTCTGTATAGAAACACAATTTGCTTGTTATCTTGGCTGCTGTAAACAAAGCCAGTAATGGCACAGTGCTGCTGTGGGGGAGCTGGGATACTTGATTAGGGAATTCATCACCAAGCAGTTAGGCAGTACTGAGACCAGTCCTAGGTCAGGGTGACCTGCAGGGAGATGTAGAAGTAGCTGAGGTTCACCCAAATGTTGCACATATGAAAAACCCACTTGGTTGCTTGTAGGTTGCCTTCAACTTGGAATAAAAGGAGTTGGCTGCAGCTGTACAAGGCGATTGCAATTAAAGTCTGACAGGTAGCCAGGCTGCTTGAATCGAAATAGATTCAAGAACTTGTAAATTGCATTGTCAGTCTTTGAGGTAATTTATGCTTTTATTCCTAAAAGCTGCTTTGAATAACTCACTTTGTGTCTAGTTACAAGGCCTGGGATGTCAGGGCTGAAGAGAAAAAGTTGCAAAGCTGAATTAGAGCTTTGACATCACTCAGACATCACTCTAGTGAGCTATGAAATAAGGCACTCATCCTGACAGGTCCTGGTACTCTGCCATTTTTTCATCGCAACACACGTGATTATAGTGGAGACTTTGCAGATCAGTCTTAACATTGCCCAACTTCACTTGGCTGTTGTATGATCCCAGTAATTTTTCTCAGATTTTACTTTGAGCAAACTCATTTTGCTGAAATTTTAAAGAGGAGGGACTGCAGACAACACATGTGGAAGCTGACAGTCTGAACTCTTGAATACATGATTTCAACCCAAAATTTGGGATTCACTCCCAGGCACCAGCTGGCTTGGTCTAGGTCTGGATGACACCAGGGTACCTTGCTTGTTCAGGTTGTGACTCCTTGTCTGTTGTTGAAAACTTCAGTTTCCTGTTGTCACGGTGTCCCCAAGTGATCATGTAACCCATCCTGGCTGCTTTTCACTCCAAGAGATCCAAGTTGGGATCGAGGCCCCTCTTGGCTTGCTGTTCTGCAAAGTCCCTCTGACACTCAGGCCAGAAATGAAGTGAATCCTGGTGTGCTTCTGCTGTGCAGAAATTAAAAGCCTTGGCATCCAGGTCCCTCACTTTACCACACCTGTCCACCACTTTGGCCATCTCTAGATCAACCAGGTCTCTTCCCACTCCATAATCTCCTGGTCTGACACAGCCGAGGGCTGGACTTGGCCAGGAAGGTTAGTGGTTTTTCACTAAGAAGGGACTGGGAAAGCCTGATCTCCCCAGTCCTGTTCTTGTATTTTCTTTGTCATGCATACTGCTGTTTCCCCTGCAGTGGGTGGGTGATGGTTTTTTGCCCCATACCAATATCACAGCTCCCTTGCCCTCTCTTCTGCACTGTAGAAGGAGCATGGTGAAGGGAACTTGAGTAGATATTTGCAGGAGAACCTGTGAGACTGCTGGCACAGGGAACACTGAATGCCATAAATCCTGCCTGCAGTGACAGTGCAGGGCAGGGAGCCTTGCTGAGCTGTTCACCTTGGTATTCTGGCACAGCAGCAGTTTGTCTGGTCACAGTCTTCAGTGGCTCAACTGTTTTGTAAAACTGGCAACCTCTGTCGAGACAGAAAAATAATGGGATGACTATTATGAGGTACTGCTGTATAGTTAGGTATAAACTATTGACTGGAAGTGTCAGCAAACAAACATTTGGGGCTGTGGAGCTTTGCATCCTTCATGTGGCTTCACTGGAATTAAACACAGAACTGATGTGGGGTATTTAGGTGATTCATATTATTTGGTAAATTAAACTGAAAAATGTGCCAGGAAATGAAGCTGATAATTTTGAAAATACACTGCACTGATGCCACAAAGCTCTGTAGCTCAACACAGATGTCTTGACATTTGGCTGAGCTAGTAATATGCCATTTGTGGATGGATGCTCATCTTTCAGTTTTTTAAGGACAAGTGTCCTATGTGTCAGAATTAATCAGAGACCGATTCCTTTCTCAGCAACAACTGCAATGAAAATGCTTTTCTGCTCCATCATTTTCTTTCTCTCTGACTTGCTTTTTGAGTTATTTTTGTTTTGATGCTTGATGTTCACATGACATTATACATGAGCAGATTGGTGTAAGACTGTGTACAAAAAGGCAAATTATAAACCATGCATGCAATGTAATAGCACATGGCAGACAGAGAAAGTAGATACAATAGTCTCAGACAAGTGTGAATGGGGGGTGTTTATGTCTGGTCTTTTAGCCTGAAAATTTACCTCAGGCTTTCAGGAAAGGGTTAATAGAGACAATGACAAGTGACAGAGCTTCTCTGATCACCCCTGGGAACGCTGGCTGTAAAAGCAGAATCTTTCCTGAAGAGGAATCTAATGTATGATTAATGTTTATTCTGTAAAACCAAGGGTCCTGTGGGTTGTGTTGGCTTTTTATAGCTGCATGGGAATATCAGGATAAGAGGTTTTTTGCAGAGCCAGGGAAATGCATTTCTATAAAAGGAAAGCAGCGCCTCCTTATAAAATCCAGTGCTGGGTTCTGTTCTGGAGCCTTAGCTTAGCAGGACGTGTGCACTTAGAAAATGTGCAAATGCAAACACTCAAAAATGTTGTGCCCGTGTCTGATCTCCACTTTGGGACTGTCAGTGATTAAAAAGGCCAAGACAGTAAGTGCCTCAAACCCTGAGGATGTAACTAATTAGTAACTGCACAAGGCAGCGTGAGCCTGCAGTTGGCAGGGCCACCTGATGCTGTAAACGGTCTTCTGAAAACGTGATAAAGCGTGTGATGTCGTGTGGCTGAAAAGTAACGTGGAGCCCGTGCAGTGGCTTTGTGCAGGCTCTGCCGGGTCTCCTGGGGATGCCCTGGCAGGTTTGCCCGGGGCACGGGCTGGCACACGTACTGTTAAGTTGGGATGAGCTTTGCAGCTCATTCAAGGCAGTGTTAACTCTGGGGCTGATTGTGGGAGTGTGGCTCTTTGGGCTGTGTCTGGGTAGATGTGAGCAGTGCTGAGAGTTTGATGTAATTTCAAAGAGAAATTCTTGTGGTTGGTTGTTCTTTCAGCTTTTGAGAGTGAACTCCTGGACTTACTGCTTCTGTACAAATCCTAATAGGCCGGTGGGGGGGACGCAGTGTGCACCAGATAAAAGAAATTTAGCAATTATATCTCTGCGAGGCGGTTCAGTAAAACTTCAGAGGAACGAGATGGGGAGGTAACATCCTCTGTTGTGTTGTTTGCTTGCTGCTGGTTGGCTGGGAAGATCCGCCATGACGAGAAGACGAGCTATAAAGCTGTCCAGACGAGCGAAGAGGGGTCGTCGGCTGGCGAGTACCAGGGTCCGCTCATGGTGCTGGCCCAGAACTGCGCCGTCATGCACAACCTGCTGGGGCCAGCATGCATCTTCCTGAGGAAGGGCTTCGCAGAAAACAGGCAGCCTGTACGTAAGTTACACCCAGCGGGGCGAGACACGCACAAAGCCACGTGGACGCGAGTCGGGGATGCGGAGCCGCCCCCGTGCTCCGTCTGCGTGGAGCTCTGTAACTCCCAGCCCTGGATCTCGAGCATCCCGGCTCCAGCTCCAAGTGCAAATACAGTCGCAGGCAAATATCTAACCTGAAGGATGTGCAGGTACCCTTGTGCCTAAGCACCGAGAAAGGAGGATTCTAAACTTGCAGCTATGGAAAATAGATCCAAGCCTACACTCGAGTAGCCATAATCATATGAATTCAGGAAAAGGTTTTAGGACTTCAGGACTTGCACAATCATATGGACTTAGGAAGAGTCCTGTGTTCGAAGCTGTTATTCCAGCAAGACACCCATCTCTCATTCCCAGGCTCAGATTAGCATTTAAAACCTGAATAGCCAGTTAGATGCAAATCAGGGCATCTGTATCGGGAACAAGCTGTCCATATTTGATACTGTTCCTATCAGTTCACAGTGAGCACACTAGTACCAGCAGACATAAGCAGACAGCTGCCTCCTCACAGATACCCAGACACAATCTCTTGTGCACTGGCATACCCAGCCTGACACTGCAGCAATCCCAGCCAGTTAAACTGAGGAACATCAGGCTGTCCTTATATTTGCAAATAGTGCCAGGCTACCAAATGTTATTACCCTCCCACACGGAGAGAGAGAAATAGCAAAAGCACTTCTATTCATTCAGTCTCACCTATTGTAACTAGGTGCTCATATGCATCCAATGTATGCATTTATAGACAAACAATAAAAATATGTGCTTTTATGTATGCATCCCAGTATTGTGTCTTTACAAGAACTAAAACATATATTTGCCCCCAAACATTCTACTTCTACAATAATGTGAATTTAAAGGCAAACAGAATTTAATATGATTAACACACCTTTTATGGATATGTATGAGTGAATATGTGCATTGTCAGATATTCACCCAGGGCCCTCTGTGTTCTCATGGTGAAACAAAGCTTACCCCAATTGCCTCAGAACCAGAGGTTTATTGTCTCTCTAAGAAACCTCTGCTTTACTTGTGTGTTGATATGGTCATCTACAGCTGTAGGAGACATGTAGGTCTTTATTTCTGAAACCTTTGCTTCAACCAACAACTCAAAGAAGAGTAATTATGTGTCATTATTGATCAAAAGGCTTTTGTTCTTCCTAACCTTCAGCCACTAAGTGATCACACAGTCCCTGTGCCAGGTCACTAAAACATGAAACACACTCTTGCACAAGTACACTTGCTGGCCTGCACAGAGCCGCCTGTCCCTAGTGGACAGCTGGACAAGTGTCCATCCTCCTTAGGCCATGGAAGCTCACTGTACCCTGAGAGGTCTCCAAAATAGGATTAGTGATGCCGCTAAGTACCTTGATGTAGAATAAGTGCATCTAATACACAGCTTTACTTTTACTGATTCTCTAGGCTGGCAGGATTTCTTGTGCATAGAACAGAAATAAATGAGGGTGAGACCATTAAGTATAATGGACTCTCTGGGGGTCACCTCTGCTCATATCTAGGATCTAAACTCTTGGAATAGTTTTATTCCTCTTCCCATATGTTCTCCGAAAGCTTTAGAGTGATTCAGCCCATTTTATCCCACGCAATTTTACTCCTTAATCATTTTAGGGGATCTTTCAAATTTAAAACAGAGAACCTCTTCATGATATTAGTTATCACTTGAGTCAGATTTTTGGAGGGACATAAACCCTCCCCCTCCTTCTGCATTTGCAGTATCTGGCAAATGCAAATTCTTTGGTGTGCAAAATTAGAGCCAGTGCTGAAGCCCCCACTTCTGACAAGTGTCAGAAGACCGATGTCAGTTACAATGCAGTCTTCAGTGAGGGAGGAGGAGGAGGAGGATGGTCTTGGGAGGACTGTGCTGGAGGAGGGCCCAGGTCCTACCCTGGCCACTCTCACAGACAGTGGCTGCTGCGGGTGAGGCATGGCACCCTTTGCACCGCGGGGCTGGTGCTCACAGCCCTGCAGCTGCTGTGCACCCAGCCACTATCTCCGGGGATCAGTGTTTGCAGTCTCTGGAATAAAGTGCACAAGGTGCTGGAACTGATCATGGGTGGTTTTCTTCTGTTATTTTATCTAAGGCAGGAGGGCAATTATGCCTCCTGCATCCGGTCTGAGGAGATTGAATTGTTTTATTACTTGGTGTTGATGAAAGCAGAACAAATGGGATGACATGTTTGAAAATACCAGGTCTGTGAAGGATGAAACAGCAGAGCCAGCATGCTCCAACAGTTCCATCCAGCACAGAGATGCCTCTGGGAAGGTTATGAGTGGCAAGCTGGTCATTTCTCTGGCACAGCCCACTTCTGCACAGACGTAAACCAGTGTGTGTCCTAGTTTGCTATGCACTCTGAGCAGCTGCCATTAGTTTCCAGAGGAGGCTGTGGTTAAATAGCAAAGGATCATCCTTCTCAAAATGATCAAAGGCACCATTTCCAGGCACATGTGGTGAGGCTGGAGGACACCTGGAAGGCAAGGAGAAACTCCCCACAGTTGAGGGGAAAAGCGGAGAGCGAGACGACAAAAGAGATCGCGTTTCTGTGTTTCCAAATTCTCAGATGTTTTGGATTTGCCTGGGAGCCATGAGAGGAATTAGAAAGGGCATTTAAACCAGAAAGCAGTGCATTTCCATGCTCATCTCTTCTTCCTGGTGCAGTGTTGGAACTTTCCTATACTCTTATATCCTCCCCCTTCTTCCAAGAAATTCAAGTTGGATGTTTGAAGTGGCAGTGTTTCCTGAACATGGTGAATCCTTGTCCTGTTTCATTTGTAGATGACCTTGATTATGTATATGTTGTGTGTCTGCCTTCATGACTGGTTTCAAAATGCTTGTATATGGAGCTGAGGCTGGGGGGAAGGGGGAAGTTACTACCTTTTTGTGGGGATAGATTGTAGGAGATGTCGCTGAGACCTTGACTGTGAGAGACCTCATGGCTGTTGCTGTCCTGCCAGAAGGACAGAGATCAAGCAGTGATCTGAGCAGATGATAGTCTAGACCTGCTGGTTACAAGGACTGCTTCCAGCTGCTTTGATCTGTGTGTGTCAGCGGGAGTGGCAGTAGAAATACAATCAGAGCTCCAGAGGAGATCATAACTGCTACAGGGACAGTCTCTGCTCCAGAACTTGGTGCTGGGGAATGATGAAGCAGCTTCATGAAGGTGCCAATAATACCATCAGTGGGGAGGCCACAAATCTTGCTGTGTTGATCCAGGTCTATTCTGTTCAGGGACCACCTGTCATCCCCCTGTCCACCAGAGGAGAGGGAGAGGGGCTTGCAGAGAAATATGTGCAGGTTAACACCCCTCTCTTTGGGAAGGAAAGCTGGGAAGCCTTCCTAGGTAGATGGTATTAAACATGTCATCACCTTCTTGTTTCTTCTCTCACTTTCTGGCTTGTTCCAGAACCCTTTGTACCAACAAGTGCTATTTTGAAACTATTTTGTGGCCAACAAATGTCTTTAACATAATATTTCTCTTTTTTCAGGATAGAGAACTGCGTCCAGAAGAAATTGAAGGTAAAAATTTGTTGCTCCTTCTTTGTCCTCTTTCTCCCTCCCCAGTGAAAACCTATTGGCTGGCCCTTTCATGCTGGCCCCCATGGGTTAAAATAATTTGAGGCAAATCAAGGGAGATGATTACTGGAATAATAATGTATAAAACTGAAAGAGTTCTGGCTGTGAAGGAATTTGCATCCATTCCATATTCTTCAGGGTGAGAGGATAAGTAAGTAATGGGATATTGGCTGTTAGGGAGCTGCTGTCCCTCCAGCTCCCACAGAAAGTGTTGTGGAGCATGATACTATAATACAGCTCCAAGGAAGCTGTCTTACCTGCTAATCCCTACAGTGAGGGGTATATAATAGAGTGCAGAGGTAAATGTTGGAAAAACTTACTAGTTGCAGTTTCTTTAGGGAGCACAGTTTAGCAATGAAGCATTTGTGACACTCGTGGTCCAAGCAAACTTTCCTGCCAGGAATGGGCCAGCAGCGCTGCTGACAGAAGAGCTTAACTTTGCTCCAGTCATTGCCTCATGTAGGGAGGTCTGGTGGGAAAATACTGACTATCTTAGAGAGTCTGGCTTCATAAAGTGCTGTTTATTCTGGGGAGTTTTCTTGGAAAAGGTATTTCAAGCTGTCACTGACAATATTGTTCTTCCTTTCCTGCAGAATTAAGAGAAGCCTTTAAGGAGTTTGATAAAGACAAGGATGGGTTTATTAACTGCAGGGACCTGGGGAACTGCATGCGGACCATGGGCTACATGCCTACTGAGATGGAGCTAATAGAGCTCTCCCAGCAGATCAACATGAACTGTGAGTAACACACACCCAGTTGTACCTGCCTGTTGCTGCTGTGCCCTGCATCATTGCCTCAGGCTCTCTTGGTCTCTGGCTGTCTCTTTTCCTTTGGATTTTCCCTCTCTCTTTTTGGTTCTGATTTTCACTTCTTATCATCTCTCCTGTTTGTCTCTGGTCCCTAGAAGTCGATGTTTGGTTTTGCTTATCAAAGGGACTGTGTGGACTGTACTGTATATGGGAACAGTGAGTGGAAGGGTTGTCCTTCATGCTTATGTTGTCAGGTATAAAACTGCCCTTAATGTGTGCAGTCAGGCACTGATGCACAGGTTCTGTGTGTTGTCACATTGAAGCTGTTGTCAGATGGTGTCAGACTGAAGAGCAAGCCTGGGAAGATGGGGATGCTTTGTTTAGATGGGTGATGGATGGGCTGTTGGTCTGTGGTGGTTTTTTTGTGTATCTGCTGTGTGCCTGGGGATGGGCTGTGAGCGAGCTGTGCTGGCAGCGTCAGATGGGAGCATCTGCTGCAGTCATGGAAAGATGTGACAAATGCATCTGATTCACTGTAACTGTGTTTGTGACCCTTGTCTTTCACCATCGTTTTTGTCAGCTCTCATCTGTGGCAGTGCAGGGTATCACCTTCAGCCAGGTGGGGAGAAGCATATTTAGTGCATGTTATTTCTGACACAGGATTATGTTAAAAGGACAAATTACTTGGTGGAGGGAAGGAGAACAGCTGTGACATATGCAACCAGTCACACACAAAAGCAGCTGATAACCCTGGCACACAAGTGCTTGGGAATTTGAGAGTGTTGCTGACAGCTCTCAGGGCACTAACAAGTAAAAGAACTAATGCAATGAATAAACAGTTGGACATATATTAGCTGCTGTGATGGAGCAGGACTGCACCACTGCTGCAGGGCACTGCCCAGGCTTTGCAGGAACATCATGCTGTGCCCTTGCCATGCCCTTTGGCACAGGCGCAGCACAGTGGTGCTATAAGCACTAGAACGATCAAGCCTCTGATACACGATGTGATGCAATAAGGGTGTGACAGTCCATGGCAGCCTAGGATGGAATAACTTGGGCTCATTCTGCCCAGCCCATAATCCAGAAAATACAGGGTAAAACTACCTCTCCTTTTCCTTCCACTGTCCCACACCTTCTGTGCTTTGCTTCCTGGAGGGTCAAGTGCTCTCTGGGGCACACAGAAATGCAAAGTGAGTGCTGGTCTTGGCTAACTTATGGAGTTCTTACACACAATCTTTCATCTTGTCCCAAGTGGGTGGCCATGTGGATTTTGAAGATTTTGTTGAGCTGATGGGACCAAAACTTCTAGCAGAGACTGCAGACATGATTGGTGTAAAAGAACTCCGTGATGCCTTCAGAGAGGTGAGTGATCCCTTCCGCGTGCTCCCAGAGAGGTGAGCAACACAGGACAGGATAGAGAGAAGACCCACTGGAGATGAGAAGAGGAGGAGGAGAGAGCAGCACAGTGGAAGATCTAGAAAGAGCCCAGTCAGGCATGGAATAAGGAAAGAACAGAGAACATTGCTAAGATAAAGAAACTCTTGAGGCAAGGAAAAGAAAAGCTGATGCAGACAGAGCATTTGCAAGGGTTTTCTGAGGAGAAAAGACAGACTGGATCCAAAAGACACTCAGAGGAGGAAAAGGGGGAACATGGAAGGAATGGAGAAAATACAGGGCACTTAGGAGCAAGACAGTACAAAAACCAATCCAGAGCAAGATCTGTTTCCATTAACTGCATTTCCCCTGCTGGTATTTTTCATATACTTGCAGTTTGACACCAATGGAGATGGGGAGATCAGCACCAGTGAGCTGCGAGAAGCCATGAAGAAACTTCTAGGGCAGCAAGTGGGTCACCGGGATATTGAAGAGATCATCCGGGACGTGGATCTGAATGGAGATGGGCGTGTTGATTTTGAAGGTGAGAAGGGATCAATGCTCGCTGTCCATCTCCCCTGGTGAGAGTCAGAGTTTCAGATCAGAAGCTGAAGTGGAAGACTTGCATGCTCAGGGCCCAGGGTTCTGAAGTGTGGAGAAAAAATAACTTCATTTTTTCAGTCAGATGAATTGTTCATTTGTGTATTCTCCCTTGCTGCATCTCAGTTTCCATTGGGCCTCCATAATTCTAGCATGGTAAGAGACAGAACCTGTCATACAGAAACAGATCCTGGTGCATACCTGCTGTGCCTGCCATTGTTTCATGGGGCATTGTCTTTTCTTTAAATCTATTGCAAGAGCTGTGAAGAGGTGGCTGAATTGCTTTGGAGAATGTATTGCACCTTCCATTTCCTCTGGCTCACCTTTGTTATATGGCTTTATAGAGAATTTGTTTCTGTGCCTTTATGCCAGAAGATGGTCACATGCCAGCTGTGCTCACTAAGACTGCAGATATCTGACCCATAGGTGTCATGTTAAATCCTAGAGATAATTAATTTCTTCTCACATTTTCCATGCCAGAAGAACTTTGAAAAATAAGAGTGGTTAGGCTAGTATCCTAGCCATTAGCTGTGGCAGAAGCAATATTAATAGAGCCCAGGGTTTCTGGCAAGGGAGCAGTTGATATCAGACAGCTAAGAAGATATAAGAGCTGGAAGGTGTGAGAGTGTGACAGGCTGCTTTTTTCCCCTGGTAGAAATCCAGATGTCCCTTTGCAGTAAGGGTGAAATACAGGAACTATGAAATTAAAGTAAAATTGACATAATTTTTTTGGCTTAGCAGTATTCCTGGGTCTCTTACATGACAAGGCATCTCATTCCTCGGGATTACTTCAGCCTCTGAGGGCTTTGAAATTATTAGAATCCTAGAAAGTATCTGGTAGCTGCAGTTGTTCTAATGCACTGGCTGATTACATGACAGTAGCTCTCCTTGTTTCTCACAGCTAAATTATGTTAGACAGCTAAAATACATTAAATGCTATCCCAGTATCAATTTCTCTGTGAGTTACCACTTTAGTTGTCAAAGGACACCTCTATCAATGGAAAAGGAGAAGTCAAGGGGGTAATTTCCACTGCCCTCCTCTTTGCAGAGTTATTAGTTCCTCAGCAATTCAAGTGCAGAATGAAAACACATTTATATTTGATGGCATTTACACTCAATTTGAACAATTGCAATTGACTTCACAAACTGCAGGGTAATCAAGAAATAGATCCAGGGTATCCTTACAGTTAAGATGTATCTTTAAAAACAAGAAGTCCCTTAAAGTAAACTTTTCTCTGCAAGAACTCCAGTATAGATACTGGCACAACTCTCATGCTTTCCCACACTGGTATCTCTGTGAAATGGCAAGTTTACTAAGAAATCATACCATGTTCCCAAAACTGTAAATCAAGGTTCCCTAAAGTTACAGTGAAGGGAGACAATGCTTGCTGTAGTGTTGCACAAAGAGTTTCTTGTGCAAGCAAGACTGTAGGTGGCTGGGAAGGAGTCCAAGGCAATGAATTGACCTGCCAGAGGGATCTTATTGCCATATCTAATGCAAGGATTAAAGGCCATGTTGTGTGAGCTCTCAGGGCCAGTCTCGGAGCACACAGGCTTTGCTGGCAGCCTGGGGACTCCCAGTCTCACCCTGGCTGCTGTCTCCAGTGAATGAGAGCTGGGTTGGGAACCATGGCTGCCTTCTGGTTCAGGGCTGTGTTGTGTTGTTGGTTGCAGAGTTTGTTCGCATGATGTCCCGTTGAAGATTATTCTCAGCTAAAGAAGAATCAGCACCTTAGAGAGGGCAGAAGAGGACCTAGATGGAGCATCTAGCCCCGATGTTCCTACATGAAGGTTTATCGGCTGGCTGCAATTAGGACATTGCAAGATGACCTGCTGCTCCTCCCTCATGGTGGTCCCCATGCCCCTCCACCCTTTCACACTGTGAAAGACTTGCAACTTCCTACAACTGGAACCATTCCTTGAAGAAGATTGCAGGAAACTGCAGAGCCAGGACTTGCCATGATGCTTTCATGGGATATTTGCAACTTTAGACTCCTCCTCCCCAGCTTTATTCTCCCACCAGCTGCTGCAAAGCAAAAGCAGGAGAAATCCTCTTGGCTTGGTGGATGAGAGCAAAGCCATTGGGACTGGTGGCAGCCTCAGGGCGTGCTCTGCACTTCTTGGTTTCCCTTGGTGAACCCTGTCTGTGTTTGCTGTCTCAGTGTGTGTCTATCTGTGTGGAGTTATTTATGCTTCCCCAACACTTATTTGCATCTCCTGTGGTTATGTTTACCGAGAGTAAATTCAAATATATGTCTTTTGGGGGGAAAGTGATAAATATGCACGTTGAAATGGTGTGGAGCCTGGATGTCCCTGTGAGAGGTGGTGACTGGGCTGGGGGAGAAGGGGTTGGGCAGATGCACACCCCAGTGTCTGCACCACAATCCAGAGGCAAGTCCTTGCTGCAGAAAGGGGAGTCAGTGCTGACAGAGTCTGTGTCAGGACTCTGCCCTCCCTCCTACTGTCCTCATGGCCAAGGGGCATGTAGGTGCCTCACAGTGAGGGCAGTACAAAGGGTCCCCATCCACTGGCATGGGCACAGGTGAGAGCCCCTGCAGTATCGTGGGAAGGAGCAATGGGAGAAAGGGCCCAGAGGGGAGCTGGGTGGGAAGGGGATAAGCAGCAATAGCCAACCTCACCCTTTTCAGTTAATTTTAAACAACTGTGAGCACATGTACGGTGGGGCCATGCTGTGGTAGCTGAGCTGTAGCTCCACTGGTGCTGGGGATTGGCTGGGAGCCTCCAGTGCCCTGCTCTCCAACCTCTTCACGCTCAGAAATGCTGCACATGTCTGCAGCAGTGATGACAGCAGCCTCCAGGCCCTACCAGCTGCTTCCAGACGCATCAGATCTTATCCTCCTTCCCCCAAGATGCTCCCAACCTACCGCTCCCTTTCCCTACTCTATCAGACTTACAGTTGTTTCCTTTCTCTATGCAAAGACTCGGTCACAAGTTACCAGGATTAATTTCTGTTTGGCTTCAAAGGACACCATCATCAGTGTGTTTCTTGGTGTGACTGGGAGCTGTTTTCCTCTTGGCTGTCTCCTTACTCAAACTGGAAGGTCAAGGACCAAGGTCCTGCTTCCTCTGTCTCAAATCTTTCACTTCCGAGATTCTCTATCACATTCTCAGGGTTCACAAACCCATGTCCCAAAGGAAGATTTTCTCTTCTGCTTTGCTTTTGCTGTGCCATCCAGCATAGCTGTAGTGATGGCTGATGCTCCAGTGACAGAAAACCATGTTTCTCCTTATATTTGTGTATGTGTGCATGTTTACTTGTGTTTGCACAGGTGTGTGCACTAGAAGGGTTTGTGTGTGTGCACCTAAAAGCAAGGAGTGCAGATAGTTACCTGGGAGTGAAGCAGTAGAGGAGTTTATATGCAAGTGGGTGTATGCCCACTGTGTGTGTTTATCTATGGAGCTGGTCCCATCTTGGAAATGTGGGTGTGAGCCAAGAAATTGGAAAATGGATATTTACAGATCTCCACATTTACTGGCTCGGTAGCTGTATTATTGAGGGTGATACTGGAGATGAGGGTGATAAACTGAACAGAGTACAGAGTCCTGGTGTGTTACAAGTGTGTTTAGGGTAATACTGGGGAGGGGAGCCATGTGCAGCCTTGTGTCTGCTGGTACACAGCTGTGCTTCACTTACAGTGGAGCCTGCTGAGGAAGGAGCTGCTTGTGCATGCGGAGCAGGACAGCTGTGCTGCTGCCTGTGTGCTGCAGAGTGCTGTGCCTGCCTATGGGCACTGGGGATGGCTCAGGGTGTCTGCCTTGTGCCACAGCCAGCCTGCAGGAGCCCAATGGATAGTCAGAGGCCACAAGTGTGGCTGCTTCTGCCTGCTCCTTCCCAGACCCTGCCCTGAGCAGTCACATCTTTTGCCCACAGCGTCAGATGGCAGGACAGTCTTTATTTAAAATGGTCCCTGCATGTCTAGAGGCTGGGCTGATCCACAGTGCAGCATCATGGTGGCTGGGCATCTTCCTTGCAAACCACGGCCACTTTCACTTAAGTGGGTCCCTGTGTTTGTGGTGTGGCAGAGCTGTGCCTGTCATCCCAGGAGTACTAGGCAAAGGCTGGCTGCAGGACACCTTTCTATCTTTGCAGAGGCAGTCCTGGAACCTTCTGAGGAAAGCTGAGTCTGCCAAATCATCTGTAGCTCTTTTCTGCCAGGTCTCACCATGATACAGTGAACAGGTCAGACAGGGCAGGTCTTTTTTTTTTTTTAATTTTTTATTTATTTCTTCCAGCAGAAGCTCTTGAGCTCCTGCTGCTAGCCTGATTTTACTTTCACAACAAACCCCAAATAATCCCAGGGAGTTTTACTATTTCCTTGTGTAGACGGGGGCAGAGATTAAAGATCCAATCTAAATAATCTAATTCCAGAGATAATCCTTTTGCTCTTATCTCCAATTTTGTACCAGGAAGCTGCTTCCAAGGAGCTCTACGTGGCAGGGCACAGCTGGTCCCTTGTGGGCAGCTGAGCTGTAGCCCTGTGCCATTTGGGAGGGCTATGGGGCAGTGGGGCTGGCTCACACTGATTTCTTAGATACCTCATTAGCCATGAGGCCTGCTTCTGACCCACATCTTTTTGCTGCTCTTTTTAGACATCCCAAATGCTGATCCCATTTTCCAGCAGCAAATGGCTAATACCCTAACCATGTGCTCATCACTGCTTGTGAACAATCAGGGTGCTAGGTAGAACAGGCAGGACTGATTCAAGACAGTCATTTTGGCACAGCTGCCAGGGGACAGGGAGAGGTCAAGGGATTGAGAAAATGACCCTGAGCCTTTCACTTGTAGGTTACTGGTGTAAATCCAGCCTGCATCGAGGGACAGACTGATGGCTGAGTGGATTAGTAACAGGATGGGGCCTTTGACATCTGGGGCACAAACTGGCATCAAGTTGCTGGTGTGATGGCAAGTATTGCTTTGGGACAGCAGTGTAGGACACTACGGACACAGGCCAAACAGCATCTGCCATCCTCTGCCAGGAGCTGTGAACAGCCTGTGAGCCAGCGTGAGGGGCTCCTCTTGCCCCAGAAAAGGACATCCTGTCCCTCCTCACTGCTGCTCAGTTAATCCCTTGTGCTTTGTGAAGCACTACTGATTCTTGGGAAATGAGCATCCAAGCTAGTTTTTAGAAAATGCTCACCCTGGGAACACCTGGTAACACTTAAAGTGTTTATGTGCTTCAAAGTTGTGTTCCTGACCCACACATCGCAGTTGAAAGTGTAGGATTAAGGAGGATCATTTGTAATCAGCACAAATGAGCTCTAATGAGGCCTCTCTCAGCCTCACCAACTGGACAGCATTGTCCTGGCCATAGCTGCTTGCACTCCTTTGGTAACAGAACTTGGGGGACACCCAACAGGTCACAAACACAGCAGGGATACAGGAGATTAGCCTGGATTTGATCAGATGCTGCCAGGGCTGGGGTCTGTAATGCTGAGATGATTTGCCAGGAATCAGCGTGTGGTGGCCGAATCTGGAGAGGTGCTAAGTGTACACATTTCATACTACTAATCTGGATGTGCTTTCCTAAGGCACCCTGTAGTTTTAGGAAGCCCTTCCTTGCAGCAGTGCTGGTGTGGGAGTGCAGCAGTGCCCTGTCTGTCCTGGCCCAGTTATATCATGAGCCCAAGAACTGATGTCACAGCAGCAGGAACATGCTTTGGGATCCACTCCAACCTGGGCAGAGCAGACTGGGTGGGGGGTGGGTGGTTATGCATTCTGCCAAACTGTTCACTTCTCCAAGGCTGGGTCTGGTTAAGAGGCCCACAGGTGCATTACAAAAGCAACAAATTCATTTAATTCTCAGTCCGCAGCACCAAGTCTTTATTTATAGAAGCAAATGCTTTGCGAAAGACTTGAATTAATAAAATACCACTGGCATTTAGAAGCAGCCACTGCTAATGCAGCTGGTGCCAGGAGCACAGCCCTGAGGCCTGGCCGGTATCTGATGCCTCAAGGAACAGTGTGATCAGACAGAAGGGCAAACATTAAGTAATTTGTTCCCCCTTTGTGTAGGGAGTGAGTTTCATTCGACCTCCCCCTGGGATATCTCACTCCAGCCACCCAAGACCTTGCCAAAGTCCTCCAGAAAACAAACCCAGGATTTTACATTCTCCTATAGTCCAAGCCAGGGCTCAGCCCACTGGCAGTGTCACGGTCACCTCCCCGCCTTCCCCTTCACTGCCTGCTTTGCTTCGCAGGCAGATTATTGCGGTGCAAGGCGCTTGCACGCCACCGGCCGCTTCGCCCCTTACCGGGCGGGCGGCAGCTACTTATTCCCTTACTCCATGGCAGGGGCGAACAGGAGAACCAGCGTGTTCTGCCAAGGCAGCGAGCGGGGCTTGGCAGCTGCTGTTCAGAGCACAGCGGGCACAGAGCTACCGGGACGTAGCGAGGAGCCTCCCCCGACGGCGGTGGAGCTCCCGCTGCCCTAGGTCCGCTTCCAGCCCCTTCCCCGAGCACACCGGGTCCGCTCCGGTCCGCGCTTCCGCAGCGCCGCCCGTTGCCGCGGCAACCCTCCGTCTGCGCTTCCCGCCGCCGCCCCACCGTGCTCCGCGTTCCGCTGCGCTGGAGCACCGCGATTGGCGGCGCGGAGGGGCGGGCTTTGCCCACCCGCCGCCGGCGCTGAGGCCAGCTCGCCGGGCTGTCCCCGCTGCGGACACGGTGCTGGGGAGCCTCGTCCGTCTCCGCGGCGCCTTCCTAGGGGAGCGGGTTCCACAGCCACTCCGCTCCCTGCGCGGGCGGTACCGGTCCCGAGCACCCCGACCCGCAGGGACCCGGCTCCCCGCGCCGCTCCCGTCGCTGTCTCCGCGCCGCTCAGCCCAACCCGCCCATCGCCGCCGCTCATTGGCCCGCCGCCTTATGAATATGCAGATACCGACCCACGGCCGTCTAATGGCAGGCGGGCAGATAATTAATATTCTCGTTTCGGTGCGCGGATTGGCCGGCGCTCGCCCCGCCCCGGCAGCGGGGTAAGCCTCCCCCTGTCGGCGGCAGGAAGGGGCGGGCGCGGCGCCGGGAGCGCGACATGGTGGGCGCTGGTACGCGCGGGGCGCCGCTGCTGCCGTCCGTGCTACTGCTGCCGCTGCTGCTGCGGGGCGCGGCGGGCGGCATCGCTGACAGCGTCGTCTGGGCCGTCAACGCGGGCGGCGATGCCCATGTGGACGTGAACGGCATCCACTTCCGCAAGGACCCGCTCGAGGGCCGCGTGGGCCGAGGTGAGGGCGGGGGACACGCTGCGGTCGGGGGGTTTCGGCGGGACAGCCTG